TATGTATGTTTTTGTAAGTTAGAAATGCGCGGTATATGCCTGTTCAGCTTGATCAAATGTCTATTTATTCGCATATTAGTCACACGTGTTTATGTGAGTTCGACCAGTGTAAATGCATGCATTATGTGTGTGCGTCCGCGCCAGTGCGTTAGACAGGTGAAAGTGTGTGTGGTAGGATGAATGTGTTTATGTGTGTCAGACCGTTTTAGTGATCCATAGAAGAAAGGCTGTATAGCCTAAATGTGTGTGTGTGTTAGATGCATGAAATATGTATGTTTTTGTAAGTTAGAAATGCGCGGTATATGCCTGTTCAGCTTGATCAAATGTCTATTTATTCGCATATTAGTCACACGTGTTTGTGTGAGTTCGACCAGTGTAAATGCATGCATTATGTGTGTGCGTCCGCGCCAGTGCGTTAGACAGGTGAAGTGTGTGTGTGTGTGTGTGTGTGTGTGTGTGAGAGAGAGAAAGTCAGTCCTGTAGAAAGGTGCATGTGCGTGTCTGCGTTTTGCTCTTAACTGCTCTTTAATATCTTCCGTCTCGTGCTCCCTAACGAGCCGCGCGTCATTATGGCTCCGCTCTTTCATTCCCGTTAATATTTACCGGCCACACACACACATAAGCACGTGCGCTGCGCGGCTCATCTGCATGCTAAAGGTCACGCGGCTGCTGCAGTAATTGGCCTCTGTCGCTCGGAGCCACGGCGATGGAACAAACGAATGTCAGATATTCCTGCCGCGCGCGGAGTCGGCCATCTTACTGCTGTTTGTTTTCGCGGTTGTCGGGTCGTTAGTTGGCGTACGAGTAAACACAGCAGAGGACGCCTAGAGAGAGAATTGCGACGCAACCTGAACTTAAAATAATTCATATCTTCACTTCATAAAACTACTTTTGTTATCTGCGCAGTGGTGGATTGTAATGTTTGACATTATTCCATGTTAATTGCGTTGCATGCCGAGTTGTATGTGTAATCATGCTCCAAAGAAATCAAATATGAGGAATATTCAGGTAATATTACTCTTAGAAAAGTTTACATGGGAAACCATAGTTTAAAACAACAAAGAAAGTATTATGTCAAATCAAAATTTGAGATCTTTATGGGGTCTTTAGAATTAGGCCTACTCTATTAATTTTTTCAAGTGATGGCTAATGATAGGTTACACTGTAAAATGTTAAAAGTATTATTTAATATGACTGAATCAACTTGATCGCTCATTTACACCAAATAAAAGTAGTTTTAAGAGACAAATCAAGTAGAAATAGCATGTTTTATAGTAAATTTTTATTGCAATAGGTAGAAATTACAATAAAAGGGACATGATGTTAGCAAAACAAAGAAATATAAAATGGTGTGATTTAAGGACATAATGGGAAAAGGCACGGTTTGCAAAAAATGACACTATATTCGGGCTGAACGTCAAGGAAGTTTTACTCTTTGCTGCATGAGAATTTCAAACAGGCAGATACAGTTGTGCTTTTGGAAGTCCAATTCGCTGTCATTAGTCGAAAAAAACTGATAACAGTTGCTGGTCGGGATACACTAAAAGTTTTAATAGTCCCACAGAGCCACTTTTCAGAGAATCAACATACAATGGTTAGGAGTATAGTATAATAGGCCCTACTAACAAAATTATACTATATTTTTTGCTCCACTTTTTTCCATGATCAGGATTTATGATTGCGCCACAGTTTTTTTATTTACAATAAAATTTTATTTAAAACGTTTATAGTATTTAATTGTGGATTCCTGTAAAACATTACACAGCAGTAGCCCTAATCTAATAAGTGGGTAGGAAATTATACAGTTACACACAGATGCAGTTTTTAATCTTTCTATACTATGTGTGTGTATATATGAACACACAGGTGGTTCAGCGGAGTTGTACATAACCCGCTCTTTCTTAGAGAGGCCACATTTCGACCACCAGTAAATCTTAATTATTGAGATTCGGTTACCAGGTCTTCTACACGTCTTCCATGAAACATTACAAACTGTCAGTAAGGCCTCCAGCAAACGCAGCGGAGAATCCTGGACCCTCGTTATGAATATGAAGTCGCTACTCTGATTTTAAATGAAGCTTGTACAGTCATTTTAATCTAAAGGGATTTTTACCCTTTTGTGGTATAGGTAACGTATGAAATCACAACCACTAGCATATTATCCACAATAATTACTCAATTGAAGGTCTACACACACTGATAGAAAATCTTCAGATTTACAATGGAAAGTGCATGACATAAAAAACAAAAACATCTACATACCAGCCACTGAGATGCCACACAAATCCATCAAAATGAAAACCAGCACATATCCTTCAAAATCCTCCACATTTTACCCCTCAGACTCAAGGAATTGAGAGGATGATCCCAAGATGATTGAGATCAGGAGACATTACTCATCCTTCCTCATGCATGAACCGCATGAGTTAAAGCTTTCCGACAAGCGGCACGGAGTGATGACCTCATGTAGAAGGTAAAATTACAAACGTTGACAGCGTTTAATCAGGTCCAGCAAGATGCTGTCATTACCTGGGGCTGTGGCCGAATCCGTGCAGCGACCTAGCTGAGTTCCTTGGTCGACTTTCTGTCTGTCTTGTCGATATTGAGCAAGATCTTGATGGTGTCAAGAGTTGAGTTGATGGCAGCACGTTCTCTGGCATCCAGAACAGAATGATATTGTATATCACATAACTTTCCATTTTAACATTTTGGAAAACTCAAAAAACACAAAATTCCATAAATCTTTGTATACAGTACATGGTATAACTTGCATAATTGACACTGTGTCAGAGGATGCTGCAAATGCACTGATGTCATTAAGAACGGTATCACAAGACCACACGGTCACATTTTGCACACTAAGCTTTGACAAAGTGTTGTATTTGTCAAGAATGTGTAAGCAGCATATTTACATGCATTCATAATCTTGCACAACTCAACAATGTGTTGTAATTTAAGGTCATGTAAAAAAAAATGTCAAAAACCTATGTAAACGTTTTCTTACAGGTTCTCAACTTATGGTTGTGCATGTAAACATTCAATGTAAAAAGGCCTATGTGTGATTATGCAACTTTGTGTGTGAACGTATAGGTCCCGATCACACCAAGGACAGTAACTATAAGGGGGCATTCATGGGCCTTATCTCCTAAAACAATTGACTTTGCCCCCCTTCCCCTCCTCTTCCTGCGAAAGCGGAAAAATAAACGGGTGCATAGTTAAAGTGGGAAAATAGCAATTGCACTCTTTCGTGCGCATTAGCGACTACACACAATTGCAGATTGCACGCTTCCCACCCGAAACAGAACAACATGCGCTACTGTGAACGCTAATATAGTTAGCGTTCTTGGGAACGGGCCTTATGTGTTTTTACTCGAAATTCATGAAAAATAACCTGAAATATTATGACCTGTGAATATCCATTTTTGTGTATTTGTGCTGTTAAAAAAAAACACACACACACACCAAGCGGGCCGATGTTGCCCAGTGACTTTGCTCTCGCCTGACAGTCTGTCTCCCTCCCTCTCTCCCCTCTTCTCCGCTCTACTTCCCTCTCCGGCTTGCGGCAGTCTTTCATTCCGCTAACTGCCTCTCTCTCTCTACCTCTCATACTGATACGAGGCCGACAGGGTAAGTGTGACGTACATTGGCAGCGTTCGCAGGCTGCCTCGCGCGCACACACACACACACACACACACACACACACACACGCACATTGAGCGTGACGTGCGCTGGCAGAATTTGCAGCCTGCCTCCTCGCTTATCAGAGCTGTCAATCACAGGCTGGTGACAGCGCCTGGCAGGCAGCGCCACGGGGAGCCCGACACGCAAATACACACACAAACGCTTGTTCCCAGCTGATCAACACTCGCGCTTCCCCTACAGACAGAGGCACACACATATATACGCACCGTAATGTACATACAACTCTTAGTATTTGCATAACAAGAGGTGCTTTTTTCTAAACACACACTGTACGTTCATAACGTCTGTCTTGGGTGGGGGAAAAACAACTGAAGAAATATATATGCATTAAATATTATAATTTAAAAATATATAATACATTTATAACAATAGTAATACATTTTTATTTTTATGAATAATGTATACTATTTTAAATAATTATATTAAATTAAGATATACGGTATAAAGTGTTAATATATATATATATAAATTAAATTAAATGATATATAATTTTACATTATATATAAATTAAAATGCTTTCTTATGGTAAACTTGTTTGGAAACAATCATTATTTTAGCAATTTCATTTGTTGCCACTAGCGGGTTTTTTGTCGCAACCATCACAAAGATTACAATAATTTTGACTGATTTAGAATTAAAGGTGCAATAGGTGATTGTCAACACATTCATTCGATTGTCAAAAATCAACACATTTTTTGTTATGCTGGTTGAAAGTCTCTTCACATCCCGATAGCAATCATTAAGTTAAGTGGTCTAAATGTATTCATCTGTATTTATATATTTTGTGGAAGGCGTAGGACCAAGAAATGTTCGTCCAATCAAAACGCTCGGTCCGAGCGTTTTAATAAGCTTTCCTACCTGCCTGTCAACATATGTATCTGCATACCTCTGCGCACCCTGTTTGCACAGACAGGATACCTCATTAGCGTGTTCACGCATGCTGTGCAGACAGAGCGAGGATGGCAGGCAAACATCAACAACCTGATCTTCCTTCCTGGTATTGTAGTACTTTTAAAGATTTCTCACCGGTGAATGACACGTGATGCAGCCCAGCAGTTAATCCAGTCCTCGCGCCCCCCGCTCTGCATATTTTGAATGTCTCGCTTAGTTAACACACCCGATTCAAATAACCAGCTCGTTAGAAGTGAGCTACGTGCATGAACTGTGTTCCGATCGATATGATCCCTACACAGTGTTCATTGCTCCCTCCTCACTGAGCGGGGGAAATACGTTGAAGTTTACTTCACTTTGGAACATGGGCTGGAATTGGGAACCGCTGATGTAGCCTATTGTAGTATTGTTGTCTCTGGTATTCTGGTCTGTGAGCGTATATGCATTCAGGGGGCGTGGCTTTGGACGGAGATTGCAGGGAGGGTGGAACATTCGCTTTCAGTGCTATCAGGCTAAAGTTAGCATTTTCCAAGATCTCCTATTGCGCCTTTAATAAGCTTATCAAAATCGATCTGCCTGTCTTTCTCTGTGTTTGTTTGTCTGTCTGTCTATTAATCTGTCGGTTTACTGTATCTATCTTTCTATCGCTTTGTCTTTCTGTCTTATGTTTATATTATAATAATATTCTGATATCATATATCTAATAAATAAAGATACGTTTGGAAACAATCATTTTTTCTAGCAATTTCTTTCAAAGATTACAATTGCTTTTGAACATTACATACCTTGAAGATTACAATAATTTCACCTGGTTTAGAATAAACATGCTTAACAAAATCTATTTGTCTTTTTCTCTCTGTTTATTTGTTTGTCTGTTTGTTATTTTATCTATCTATCTATCTATCTATGGCTTTGTCTTTCTATCTGTCTGTCATATAATATGTTAATATATTCTAATATAATATAGCTAAATATAAGATAAATTAAAAGGGTTTCTTGTGGTAAACCTGTTTGGAAACAATCATAATTTTAGCAGTTCCATTTGTAGTTGGAATTAAAGGTTATAATAACTTTGACTGTTTTAGCGTAAATACACTTTGAAATTATCATGTGTGGTACTCAGCAACACGCCACAGACATGGTCCATAGAAAATAACTTGGAATATTCCTTCATAAGTCTGATGGGAATGTGTGGTTTTATGAGGTAGTTTTGGTCTGGCTGGTAAACGCGAGTAGGAAAACACACAGACATAAACACGTTCTTGTGCCGCTGCATGCATGTTCTGCCAGAGAAAACCTGAAGTAAACATAGGTACTTGAGCAAACAAATTTTGAAGTCTCGGCCTCTCCGCATAAGCTGAAACACATTTATTTGAAATGGTCTCGGGCGAGTCTTTATGCTATGCTTTAGCTAAATGGGCTTCAATAGACAACATACTTTGTTTTGACAGAGTTCTGTCAGAGTCCTGTTTTGATTCCTCTGTCAAACTTTGGAATCGTTTTGGGAAAACCAAAGAGTGAAAGCACAGACCTGCTGTATCCGGAAAGAAAATCTTGTGTGTGTACGTTGATATCTTAAGAGTTGAAACCATGTGTTTGCTTCAACGACAATGATCAAAAAGTTTACTTTTGTGTATAAAGCAAATGTTTTTTTCCTATTAAATAAGCCACTTGAGTGATTTTGGTTTAAGGTTAATACAAATCACATTCACAACTTTAATGTCTTATTATTTATAATGATATATATAAAATAGCAATTAGCAGCAGCAGTTGAATAACAGATCAATAAGTAAATGCATTATTGCAATCATTTTTATCAATAATTATTATTATATTTTTAAAAATACTTTTTTAATAAAAAATATTTAAAAATAATAAAACAATTATTAATGTTATCAATAAATAATAATTTAAAAAATGTCAGTATTCAGATGAATACTCATCCAAGCCGCATCGAATCAAATTTTAGAGCCGTAACTATCTGTTTTATAAATATAGACTGTCTTCTTGTTTGATCTCAGCAGGACAGGCCTTTTTATTTGTCCATGAGGGAACCGGAAGGTCGTTTCTGGTTCAGAGAGCTGACCAAACACTCCTTGAAGTCTAGTTGTATTAATCGATTGTCTTAAAATATCAATGTCTGCTGGCCAAAGATGACTCAAATGGTAACATCTCATCCTTGATTTCTATCTAGCTAAAGTTGGCCAGTAAGCAGATGTCTTTTGGTACAGAATGAACTATTAAGTGCCATCCGCCTTCAGGTGGATTCTGGGAAAATAGACAATGGAAAGCTTTTTTCATCTTTATGTTAAAAGGGGGGAAACTGCAGGGAGAAACCAAGACAAAGTCATATTCAAAAACCACTCAAAAAGCAACATTTGAGTGCAGGTTACAGTCTGTTACGTCATTGTTCAGCTTTCAAGTTAGTGGAAATGTAGTTCGTTTCTGAAAGAGGTTCACATTTCACCGCCATGCACCGGCTCTGTTGCAAGTGCTAGCACTAGCATGTCTTTATGCTAGTTCAGAGGCACCTGAAAGAGATGAAAGTCAAGGTCACATGTGCCACGTGGTGTTTCTCAACTCCTCTAAGACATGTAAAACACATCATCACAGTCTTTACTCACACCACAGGACACCAGGACTCATTCTTAGCTCAAATATTCCTTAAATCCCACTGAAAGCATATGGAAAATTCATCTGGAAAAGTCACACTTTTCACACATTTGTTGATTTTTTGTTCCCTCTTGTCATTTTTTTCATTCCTCTCACCTACTATCGTCTTTCGGACCTCATCAATCCTTCCTTTCCTTTCTCTCCGCTGGAAGTCTCCTCTGGTGTAACACGCGGATTCCATGAACAGCTTGATGAACAACCTCAAAGGTTTTTCCCCCAGCCGACACTAGTGTTTCCCAGCCTTTTCAGGAAACACACACACACACACACACACACATAGTGGCGTTTCCTCTCCCCGGCCCACAGTCGCCTACACTCTGCCAGCAGACCTGCCGTGACCATGATGTCATTATTTCCCCCATAGCGCGGCCGTATGCTTGCGAGCGTGTGGCTGTTTATCGGAAAATTCTGTCTGGGGGCTTTCACGGAACATCTGAGCTTACCATGGTCTCAACGCGCGTGCATGTGTGTATAATCGGCATAAAAATGTCTGGTTTTCTTATTCTGTTGTTAGTGGCCAAACAAACAGCGATTCTCATACTGTTTTGAGGCGAATAAATGTAGCCTACTGGATGGAGCCCAGTATTCATGGTCTCACCACTGCTGTATTCAAGTATTCAATGTTCTTAAAGGGATAGTTCACAGATAGTTCACAAAGCTCTCAGATTTCGTCAAAAGTATCTTAAATTGTGTTCCGAAGATGAACGAAGGTCTTACGGGTTTGGAACGACACGAGGCTGAGTAATTAATGACAGAATTAATTTTTTTTTGGTGAGCTATCCCTTTAACATGTGTATGCATGTCTTTTTGTAATTTTCAAAAAAAGAAAAAAAACAGTTCCTGTAAGTTTTTAATTTCAAGTATTTATCTCCTTGACATACTACTGTTTTCAGTTTTACCAATTTTTATATGTGTTCTATATTTGTTTGTACGAAGAAGATGTGCGAAAAATAAGTTTTTGAGTTAAACAAGAATTTTACGAATGAAAATATCTGAAAGAATTTATGCCAGTATTTCTTGTGTTAGTTTGCTGGTGTGTTCAATTTAATGTCGTTTGCATAGAAAATGTAAAAAAATTCTAATAATATTGTACATTTTTGTGGCAAACACGATCATTTTATAAGTAAAAATTGTTCTTTATCATTGCAAATCAAAATAAACTGCATTTGCATAGAAACAAAAAACAATTGGAACATTGAGGTTCTTGTGAATTTAGGAAATAATTTTTTTTTTTAATGATTGAATCTCCACCAGTATCGTTTCGGTTCACTGGTTCGTTCAAGTTGCCACAGATTCTTTGTTTATGTGATTTGCATAGAAAATGTGAGAAACGCCAAAAATTCGATTTTGTACATCTTTGAGGCAAACATAAGAGTTTTACAAATAAAAAAAAAGCTTTTATAATCTTTGTAAATCAAAATGCACTACATTTTCACAAGAACTACAGGTTTTGAAATGCCCCAATTATTGATTTTTGAAAATTACCTTTCATGCAGTGAGGAAATAGCTGTATGTGAATGTAAACAGTCTGCAAAGTTGTAAAGCTGAAAGCACATCATAAATAAAGTTAATGTCTCTCAAAATAAGGAGTTGACTCTGAATCGCTTAAACTTTACTTAAATCACCTAAAAGTCATTTAAAATTCAAAACCCATTTCCCTGAAGTTCACGTCACAAGTTACCACATTTGTATTATTCCGATACGTTCTGCATCCCGCGGAAACTTGAACTTAGACTGTAGCTCATTTGTGTGGATACCAATGTCGAGAAGACGCTGTGGAAGTAAATTTGGTTTATTTTCACTTCCAAATGATGAGGCTGTGAAGAATCAGTGGTTAAATTTCACCTTTACATAGGGGTGATAGCCTTGTGGGCAGCGCGTCGACATGTAGTGCCATTGTGCTTTGGGCATTCCGTGTTTGAGTCCAGGTGTCCTGACAATTTATCTTACCCGTCAGATTGCCCTACCAGGGTTTACTGGTAATCAATCAATATTGCGTCCTTTTTCTTCCGCTGAATAACAATATTTAATGTATCTACATTACTGTAAGGGTTTAGGGTTGGGGTAGGTGTAGACTTTAATAAAACACAATCTAATAGGTATAAAAAATTATTTATTGTAGGTTTCCTGTATCTGTATCCCTTCTAGCCGCAACCGCGAATATAACATACAATTACTGTATGTGCATTACTGTAACACCGTGTCTACACTGGATGCGACAGTTGTCATGTCGCACCGCGCCGCACCGCAACAGCTAAAGTCTGTCTGTCTACACTGGACGCGACAAAGCGACCGTTGAAAATCATTTGAAATTTATGTCAGTACGTCATAAATAGAACACAGCAGCAGTTTACTGTCGGGAATTTGTCGTGCAGCGCCGCATCCAGTGTAGACAGCATAATAGGTTCTATTGTAGTTTGTCACCGCTCGCTCGCGTCAGGTGTAGACACGGTGCAAGGGTAGGTTTAGGGTTGGGGTAGGTGTAGACGTTAATAAACCATAATTTTACCAGTAGCATTTTTCGTTGTCGAATTGCACTACCCACTGTTTTAATGGGAAGTAGCAAAATCTGACAGGGTAGCACAAATCGACAGAACACCAGCTCGCAGACCTTTCTGATCCCCTCCCCCTCTCTCTCCCACTTCGCTTCCTGTCTAACTACTGTCCTATCAAATAAAAGTGAAAATAAATCTTTAAAAAAAAAACACCTTTCCCTCGATACCACAGCAGTAGTAATCCCAAACTTTTGCTGTGTTCCCATCATTTCACTGACGAATGCTTCGCCAATCTACCGTGAGATCAAAGCGCGATTCGTAAAACGGTTGTCCTTGAAAGATTTGTTTGGACCAGCTTGGTCCTCCAAATCAAAACCTGTTTCTTTAATGTTCTGTCGAGCGTGCAAAATATGTAGTTTTGTGTGTTGTGTATGCACTCAGTGCAGCTTTATGTCTCCAGTTTACTCATGTTATAATTCTACTAATATATAGTTCTACTAATCAACTGGGCCCGCTATTATCTAGAAATTTGTCGATTAATGATCAAGGATGGAGCAATACGTTGGGTTTTACAAACTGTAGTGCTTTTTCAGTACTCCATGTCTGTGTTCAGCTAATGCATATAAACCAGTATTGTTTGGGTCTTTACTATGTTCCGTTTCCATCTGGTGCAGTAGCTACGCAGTCGACCAATCACAACAGACTGAGTCACCAGACCAATCAGAGCAAAGTAGCCTCACACAAAGGAGGGGTTTGGAAGCATTAATCTTTGAATGAAACATTTGAGTTGTTGAGAAATAAGGTAAATTTAAATGCATACATTATAAGACCTTGCCTTGCATGCATGTAAACCTGTTGTTGGGAACTCCCAAAACCAAATTATGAACCTTTTAAATAGCATAATACGGGCACTTCAATATTCAGTTTATTTAGCAAATTCTGAATTATAATTTATTATGTTTGAAACTATGCCAGCATTTATCTTGTCGGCTTGCTGGTGTGTTCAAGTTACCACTGTTTTTGTGTTTATGTAATCATTTTTAATTCTGTTCTCCGTTAGGAAACAGCTGTGATTTCATAAAGTTTTTAGGTTAACAAGAATTTCACGAATAAGGAGCAGTTGTTTGTCCTCTTTGCAAATCAAAACAAACTCTATTTGCACTAGGTCACACATGTTTAACTGCTCAGGCGTTGGGTGAAATCAAAGCCTCCGAGGTTTCCATGAGAGATTTAACGGTTATTCTCCATGTTGGTATCTCCGCCAGAATTCACCGCCTCGCCATACTGCTGTATTCGTGTCGTGCCGCGGTTGTTGAGGGCGTTCCAAGCTGCTCTGCCGTCTGTGTGTGTGTGTGCGTTTGTGTGTGTGTGCTGTCAGCTGGTGAGTAATAGCAGTCTCGGGTCTCTAAATCTCGACGGACCGCTGCACTGTGGAACGGCGTAGCAGGCGGCCACCAGGGATGGGGTATGTACACACACACACACACACGCTGAATATTAATACACGCATGTGTGTGTGCTCTGGAGAGTGTCAGCCCCCCCGTGGATTTGACTGGCAGGCAGGAGTGTTGCGAGCGTTTAGCCCTGCTGGATCTGTGCGTGTCGGCCGGTGACTATGAGGACAGGGTCAATTAGAGGGTCAACGTGTCCCAAAGGGCAGCCACGCCCACATGTGCACTCACACACACACACACACTCACTGACACACATTTACACACTTTTTCTGTCCTCTGGAGAGGGAAGCATAGACAAAATGCTACATTGACCCTCTCTCTCTCTCTCTTTCTCTCTCTCTCTTTCAATCTCTTTCTATTCTTCCACGTCCGTGTGACTCGTGTGCAGATTTATAATGAATAATGCATTTTCTAATCAGCACTGGAAGGCTGTCTCTGTCTGTCTGTCTGTCTGTGTGTGTGTGTGTGTCTGTCTGTCTGTCTGTCTGTCTGTCTGTCTGTCTGTCTGTCTGTCTGTGTGTGCGTGTGTTTCGTGCCTCTGAAGCAGAGCGGAGATTTGCAGGATGGTTAGCGAATTGCTTCAGGATGGAGGTTATAGCCTACTTTGCACATCAAGTGTCAATGAGAAGCATGTCCTTAAAAACAAAGATTAAACAAATGCAGTTGGCAAGGTGTGTGGTCATGTTTTGGGGAGGTTTGAAGATGTAATTCTTTCCATGACTTAGCGTTCCTAATCTCTGCTTTGCGCTCAGTGAAAAATTGTGTTATATCCATGGTTTTTTTGCTAGTTAGTGATTTATGGTTGATGGGCAGAGATTGCTTTCCCTATTCTCTCATCCGTCTCCCTACCTCTCTCTCTCTGTAACTGCCCGGAGTGGAAGAAAAGCACGCAATTGAAATGTATTGCCTACATTTTGCCTCCTGCCCCGCTTTGTCTTATTCTCCAATTCAATTCATTGTTCTCACTAAACAGGGGGCTCTCTCCCCAAAGACTCACTTGCACTCACACAATGTCAATGCTCAACAGATCGTGGGGTTTGATTTTGGCCACTTGTTTGTGCACACGGCAAACGTGCACACACACACACCCATCCCCTAAGCCCCTCCATCTCCCAGGCCGCTCAAACACACCCCGTGACAGCTGTTGGCTTCATTGTTTCCATATGTGCTGTGCTGAGATGAACGCTTACAGGCTTACAGCTTTTTACCGCCACATGCGAAAGACAGACACAACATGGAGAGCTGCAATATAGATGTAATAGAGAACAGGAATACACGACACAAACAACAGAAAAAGAGACATGGCAAAGAATAGAAAAGGACACAACATGCAACTAAAATACAGAAGGGACTGAAACAGACAAAACACAGACAACTAGAATACAAAATAACACAAAGATGTGTCGTCCATTTCATTGTTTCATTCTTCTGACATTTTCTATGTGGTTCCAGTTTTTCTGTGTCGTGTCTGTATTACAGATGTGACAAAAAACTAAAACATGGGTGAGACATGGGGAAATATAGTACAGACGTGGCAGAACAATAATACAGATTAGATGTGGACAACTAGTATACAGACGCAACAGAGAGAACTGATATAGAAACATGACAGAACTAAAACATAGACACTACTGAGACGTAAAACACAGAAAAAACACAGAAAACTACAAAACATGACACACAGAACTGAAGCACAGACAAACTAGAATACAGACACCACAGACAGTCAATTGAAAAAATATATACAAACATGAAAGAGAACTGAAACACAGACACAAACAAAAAAGAAGA